TCTCTCTCTCTCTCTCTCTCTCACACACACACACACACCAATTTTGGTCATGTGACCATGGGAATGCTGCAACAGTTATGTGTGAAACACGGTCATAAATCACATTTTTTTCAGCGCCATTGTAACTTCGAACACTCGCCTACGTGAATGGTCATAAGTCGAGGACTGCTTGTACATAAGTTAACAATAATAACAATAACTGTTTCTGGCCTTCACAATGCAACGGTCACTGCCTTATGGACGTTGACATTTACGAAGATTAAGTCCAAGTAAGCAATAACTGTTTAATAATATATCATTATTATTATTAATAATAATAATAATAATGATTTAACAGGCAGGGCTGTGCTACCCTGAAAGTAACACAGGTCCATAAATGGCTCACATGGAACTTGCTTCTCTTTCCTAAAGCCTCAGGGCCAGCTGGCTGTCAAAGTTGGATTTTGTTTCTTTCATCTCTCCTCTCCTCCCTTTCGACAGGCAGAAGATTTCCGCAGGCTTTGGAAGACTCCACCTCGCGAGAGGGCGGAATATTTCTACCACCTCCGAAAATCCGATTTGGAGAGAGGGGTCGAGCGAGTTGGAAGGTATTTCAGACTTGGTGCCCGAAGCCAAATAGCAAAAGGCAGGGAAGAGTTGGGTTTCAACACGAAACGTTAAAAAAAATACTTTAAAACAATCATGAGCACCAAATAGACCAGCAAAAGCTGCAAGTAATTATTATTATTATTATTACATTCCCCTCTGGAGTTGTGGCCTCCCAGCAGAGCTGGCAGCAGATTCAGACTGTGAGGAGGTTGGGGAGGAACCTGGGTCAGTCCTGGAGTCTGGGGAAGGGCTCTGTATCGGAGGCAGAGAGGGGGCCAGGGCCGTCCGACAGTTATCAGCTGTCTTCAGAGTTGGACGTCAGTGAGGCAGATGAACAGCTGGAACCTGTTCCCAGTGTGCACATGCGCAGAGTTGCCAGACGAAGGGAACAGCTAAAGAACAGGGGTCAACTTGGGAGTAAAGCCACAGGTGGATGGTGAATGGCCCCTCCCAGAGGGAATAAAAGAGGAGCAAAAGAGGAGTGGAGTTTGCAGGAGACAATTAGTTCATTCCTGCATTTTTGCTGAAAGGTATCGGCCTGGCCACTCTCCAACCCTGATAAAGGTGGGTAATTGTGAACGCTCTTGAAGGACTGTGGGAGAGGAAAGACTTTGCTGGAGAGGATTCACTGTCAATTAAATAAAAGGGGTTTATCGGGACGAGAACTCAGCTTCGTGCTGCTGGGGAAGCCTAGGTCAGAACATAGGGTGGACAGACAGAAATGAAATGTCTGAGATGATTTCTTCTGTATGGCTTGATACATCACCATGGAACATTCCTATAAGTTTTCTTATACAGGTAGTTCTCGGCTTACCAAAGTTCGTTCCGAGTTGCAACGGAACTGAAAAATGTTGGTTGGTTTGTTTTCTTCCTTGATGTTCTATGAGTGCCTAAAACAAACTGTTGCATTTTAGTGTAGGGAATGCGACAAACAAGAAAACTGGGTGTGGGATAGTTTTTGTGTCAAAGTGCAGTCCTGAGGCCGATCGTTTTTAAAAATTGTCTTTCCGTGAATTTGTTGTCAAAATTAATTTCCTAGCGTCACACCAGTGATTCTTCCTCTCTCATTCATTGCAGGGAGTTGGCTCATGAGCTGGGGCACCCCTGGGGCGAATACTGGGAATTCCTGGGCTGTTTTGTTGACCTGTCTTCCCAGGAGGGGTTGGGGCGGCTAGAAGGCCACCTGAGTCAACAGCAGGAAATGAGCAGTAATGCTCAGCTCGGAGAAAATGAGGCCCACAACAAACCTCCCCAGGCTCATGGTAAGAAAGTTTTTTTTTAAGTTTTTTATTTTTTCATTTTCATACAAATAACCACATGTATACTGTTACATAACCAACATTATTTTGTATTATTAAATATTTACATCAATTTGTCTTACCATCAACCCCCAAGAACAATTATTGACTCTTCTGCTCTCTATACACCATATTTGTTACCCTATCCATCACTTTCTGACCTGGCTCCATTTTATGTTGATGGTATTTATAATTTCATTTCAATGAACATCTTTAATTTTAACATATATCCTCCTCTTTTTTTTTTTTTGAAAGAAAAAAGTATACATATATAGCAATTATATTTTTAAACCAAGCTCATGGTTGAAGGCTGAAGAGGGACCTGAGTTGGGTGGTTTAAATGGATTAAATAATTAATCTCCAAAGCAAATTTAGCCAGAGCTGCTAATGCTTTGAAAAGTGCCAGGAAAAAGCTAGCTGATGGCGTACAAAAATGGCCCCTTTACAACCTGTGGACTTCAACTCCCAGGATTCAGTGGCTGACTCAGGAATTCTGGGAGTTGAAGTCCGCAGGTTGTAAATGGGGTTATTAAATTTCTATGGAGATTCTCAGTCATCCTGGTCATGGTTGCCCCAAAGGTGACTTTTTTTTCAAGAGGCAATCGGACTTTCTGGCTTTTCTTGGAAGACGTTTCGCTTCTCCTCCAAGAAGCTTCTTCAGAAATGTCTTCCAAGAAAAACCAGAAAGTCCAACTGCCTCTTGAAAAAACATCTTTTTCAAAAAGGTGGGACAAAGGGATTGTCATCTCCCCCCACCCCTCCGGCTTTAAAAAGCATTGGTGGTATCTGAGTTACCAATTGCATTTTTATTCAATAAATCCCCGTCATTTTCTGAATCCATAATTGCAAAAAATAAATGTTTAGGTTGCAATCAACTGAGACCTGGACCTGTAAGATTAAATTTGGGGGGGGGGGGGGCAGGAGAGCTGGGCACCTCTAAACCTTCCTCAACCATGACATCTTGAAGATGTGCGACTTCCAGAAAGCCAACATGGTTGGCTGGGTAATTCTGGGAGTTGAAATTTACACAACTTCAAGTTGCCAAGATTGAGAAATCCTGTTCTAGACATCATCTTCTTTTAACGACATCATAATCCCTTGCAGGGTGGACTCTGGGCAACTGAATGGAGCTGAGGGTTTACTGGCCAGATGCCCTTCTTGTCGCCAATGCAGAGTTATATTCAGCAGATATATATACTCATCATGCCCAGAGAGAAAGTTCTGCCTCTACCTAGGATCGAACTCACAGTCTCCTGATTGTGAGGCCAGAGCTTCACCTCTAGGCCACCACACCACTCAAAACCCTGTTCTAGGCATACACCCTTAAAAATGAAGGATACCTGTCAAATCAGAGAATGGTGCCTCTCATGTAGTCGCAATATGTTAGGTAAGCTCCCCGTTGGGAGAGCGAGTGCGTTCAGGGAAGCGTTGTGAGAGTTGTGTTGGAGAACACACAAACCAGCATACAGAGACACTTCAGTTTAAATAGGCGTTTACTTTCGTGGAAATAGAGGTATCAGAGCCCATCAACAGTCCAAGTCATACACAATTAAGACAGTCAGTCATCAATGTCT